ATATATATATGATAAAAATAAAACTTAGTGTCTATCTGTAAAATACTTACGCCACCTTTTACCTGAGAGGATTGCTTGTCGTTTTTTGCTTTATCAGTCAATACCCTATTGATTCTATAATTCTTTTTTTTTTTTTGATCTGACTTATCTTTACTGTATAATATTTGCCTTGTTCTTCTACTTTTTCGCTGAATCCTGTTTTGATGAAAAACATCTGAAAACTACTGAATGTAGGTTAAAAACTTTGACAGTAATAGTTTTTGTCAGCTATATTAGTGAAAGTACTTTTCAACAATAAAAGGTTGTCGCCACTCTTCCATCTTCCCTTCCTTTTTCGCCTTCCCATCGGTAAAAAATGTTGAAAAACTGTAAGAAAAAAGAGATTACTACCAAACATTTTTTTTTGCAACAACGCCAAATACGTGTTTCTTCATTCTTACTTCTGCTAACTCCTGTTTCTACCTTAATTTTTTTTTTTTTTAGTTTTTTTGATTCTATGTATTCTAATTCTTTACTGCCAGTAACAATTATCATCCGCTGCGATCAATAAAACATACAGTTGATTGTTGTAGACAACAGCAGATTGTATAATACTAAAAATTGACATAAATATTTCTTTATTTTTCATTTATTTTTACTTTTTGTAGTTAATTGGATATAAGAAGATTAGACGATTCGGCAGAGAGGAGAGTGCAATAAACGAAACTGCTCATTTTGAATAACGAATGAAAATGAAAATGGATAAATTGATGTCATAAAAAAAAAAAAACGGAACATTTTATCTGTTCTGTAACCGTCATTATATTAGTCGGTTAACTCAGAAAGCCGTAAATTGTTTGTTGGTTATTTAGCAAAATAAAAAGAAAAAGCTCTCTTTTTCCCATCTTTTTTCACTTTATTAGTCTCCTCCGTACTGGTGGTGTCTTGCAGTCATAGAAATAAAAAGAAAAAAAAAAAAGGAAGCTTTTCAACCTTTATGAATCTTAATTTTACTTATATTTTTCCCGACGCATTTTAAGAAAAAACTGGTGTCTTAATGCAGATGATTATCCAAAAAACAAAAATGTCATGGCAGCAGTTCACCAGTCGTATAATTCTGCTTCTGCAATTCATTTCAGGTACCATTCTACTTTTTTTTTTTTTTTTTTTTTTTTACAGTTTAACGGGCTTTGATGGATCTTTTTTTTGACAGTTGCAATAAAAACAATAACCATGATGAAAAAATTCTTTTTTGTACTTTACTTTGTTAGTTTTATTGTACAACAATTTTTAAATTATTAAAATTTTTAAAAGATTTTTGCTTGAACTGCTAGACAAACATCGCATTTTCCAGTACAAATCAATCGAAGAAGAAAAAAATTCGATTAAAAACTGTTTTTTTCCGAGTACTTTGAGACTAAATCTTAGAATTGTTCAGTAGCCAATTATGTTATCAATGGCGTTTTGTGGTGGACGACTGTGAATTAATTTAAGCGTTTGAATGCTTTAGCAAAATATACGCTGCTAAATGAGGATTAAAATTTCAAAACTGTTATTAAATTACATTGGAGTATAAATGTTTAACCAGGAAAAAAACC